TCTTTATATATACGTAAATATAAAGAAAGACAAAATTAAATTGACCAATATACAAAACTGTAATGACTAGGAACAAAGGAACATTTTTTATAAAATTCTAGCGACATAATACCACGAGCTTATCAAAACATCTGATCGTTGCAATCTGTATAAATATATTTGCACAACAAACTATTTTATAAATAATTTATCTAATCTAGATTTTTCTTCAGAAAACTTGTCAATTATTGAATTACTGACACAAAAGTGGGGCAAAATAATTACAAAGGATATATATAAATTCGCGATGTCGACGATTTCAAATCAGGTTTTGTTCAGTGATCAAAACAATGACATTGCGAATATTGTGTCTCTTCAGTTTTTTGGCGTTTTCGCACGGTGAGTAATCTTGTTGGGTTAATCAATATCTAATTAATCAATATCTAATTGTTTAAGTAACTACAAATTAATATAACTTCTTTAGGACAAAACTTTGGACAAAAAATCGCTTTATTGTGTTCGATTATACAAAAATTTTGATTTTATTGATCCGACTGTGAATTCAATAATTATTAAATACAAATATAAATACAATATTCTATCCTCTTTCATAATTTTCGATGTTTGCTGAACGTTTGCTAACTCGTAAAGATTTAAAAATTCACTATTAAAATACCTATATCTGATAAGAATTACTAATTGTAATTTATCCATAATAATATTAATTGTATATTAACTTCTGTGGGAACTGCGTTTTTTAATTCCTTCATTTTACATATACTAATAATAACTTATTGCAGCTAGAGTCTTTCCATTCTTTGATCCGAGGATCGTAGGTGGAGAAGATGCTAAAGTAGGCGAGTTTCCGTATCAGGTACATATTACCAAAACACATTTGTTACGAATAACAGATGCTAGTGTATATATATGAATAAATATTGTATCAAACATATAAATATATTTTTCATTTTGTGTAAATAATTATAAGCGTTTATCAAAATATTACAACAAATATGCAAATACTAAAGTGCTATGATTTTTACAGGTCTCTCTTCAAGACAAAGATTCCGGCTACCATTATTGTGGCGGCGCAATTCTGACCGATAAATACGTCATCACGACAGCTCTCTGCGTTGGGATGTAAGTTTATTATTATTATTTTTTTTTTAATAAAATAATTTTATATTAATATTATATTGCCTCAATGTGTGCATCTTTCTACAATAGATTTTACTACAAATATTATTTTACTGCTGTAAGAAATAGATCATGTTCACTGTATATACATATTTAGACAAATTTTAAGGGAAATAAATTTTGTGGTGCAGAGAAGGAGCCAAAGGAATAAAAGTTGTTGCTGGCACCATTAACCTAACTAATCCGAAATCAGAACATAACGTTGTAAAAGCCATTAGGCACGAAGGATTTAATCCAAATAATTCCTGGATTAACGATATTGCGCTACTGAAGGTAAGCATGGCGTACACTTTTTTTTTATACATGACAAAACTAAAATTTCATTTACATTTTTTTCTAATAAATAATTACAATTAATAAATTTTAAGCAAAAATTGTCTTTCAGGTGGACCCTCCCTTCATAATGTCTGCCACCGTCGGACACGTTCCCCGGCCACCAACAGATCACGTCGTTAAGCCGAATGACGTAGCTGTTGTGTCGGGATGGGGTTCCCTCTGGGTTAGTCTTTTATCGTTATAAATATACCGTTTAATCTGTAACTTTCACTTGAAAATACGGAAATAGCGATTATTTGAATTTAATTATTATAATATCTTGAGATTTTGTATACAATGTCTATAAAAAAATGAGAGAAAATCAATATCACTCTACAGGAATTATAATTGTTATTATAAATTTACAGGACGGAGGACCAAGAACTACCAAGCTACAACGAGTCAACATTTTGATCGCTGACCAAGACTATTGCAGGTATATGTACAAGAATATTGGATATAATGTCCATCCAACGCAAGTGTGCGCATTTGACCCGTCAGCCGAGAAAGGATCTTGCCACG